TCCCCAACTTTAAACCAAAATCCCTAATTTTAACCCAAATTTCCCCAATTTTCACCCAAAATCCCCAATTTTCACCCAAAATCCTGAATTTTAACCCGAATTCCCTAATTTTGACCCAAATTTCCCCATTTTTCACCGAAAATCCCCAATTTTAACCCAAAACCACCGATTTTTAACCCAAATTCCCAGGCTTTTCTCACCTTCCATGTCGATGCTGACGCTGCTCCCCCGATGCTCCGCCCGGCACCGGAAGGTCACTCCCTCGGCCTCGGCCACGCCCACCGTGACCCGGGAGCTGCGGTCGTAGCGGCCGGCGCCCATCAGCACTTCCTGGAACTCCCGGATGGCCCCGCCCTCGGCCACGCCCTCCCACGTGATCTCGGCCGGCGACGGGAAAAAACCGGAAGCCAGGCAGGCGAAGGTCACCTGATCCTCGCAGTCCTGGCAGGTGTAGAGCGGGAAAAGCACGGGGGAGCGGGCGGGCTCTGAGGGGGAGAGGGGGGGGGTTAATTAGCATGAGTGGGGAGGCCACGCCCACATCCGGGGGGAAAAAGTCTCGGTGGAAAACACCCAAAAAACGTCGGAAAAACCCCAAAAATCTGATTCAAGATGGCGGAAAATCGAGCCAAGATGGCCGACCGAGATGGCTGACCAAGATGGCTGACCAAGATGGCCGACCAAGATGGCTGACCAAGATGGCTGACAGCTCTATGGGAAAATGGCGGGAAAATACCAAGGGAGTGGGCGGGCTCTGAGGGGGAGAGGGGGGTAATTAGCATGAGAGAGGCCACGCCCACACCCGGATTAAAAAATCCCAATTAAAAACTCCCAAATTTGACCCAAAAAAACCCAAAACAATTTCGATTCAAAATGGCCGAAAATCCCCTCAAAAAAAAGGCGGGAAAACGCCGGGTGGGCGTGGCCTTCTTTGGGCGGGAAACCCTCCTTAATTAGCATAACAAGCCACGCCCACGAACCCCCCAAAAACCCCGAAATTTCCCCGAAAAAACCTCAAAAACAACTCCAGGAAATTGCGGTTTTTTGACGAGGCCACGCCCCGTCTGGGAGTGACGTCATCGGTGACGTCACGGCGGCCACGCCCCCTCCCTCGGGCGAGCCTCAGGTGAGAGGAGCCGGATACAGGTGGGAGAATTTGGGGTGAATTTGGGAGATTTTGGGTCAAACTGGGGCGATTTTGGGTAAATTTGGGGTGATTTTGGTGATTTTTGAGCTTTTGGGTTCGGTTTCGGGGTGAATTTGGGAGATTTTGGGCAATTTTGGGCTATTTTGATGTTTTTTGAGTTTTTAAGTTCAGTTTTGGGGTGAATTTGGGCAATTTTGGGTCAAATTTGCGTTTTTTGAGATTTTAGACTCAGTTTTGGGGTGAATTTGGGAGATTTTGGGGCTTAAACTCGGTTTTAACAAAGCCTCACCTGGTTCAGAATCACCTGAGAGGATTTGGGTTAAAAACCCCAATTTTTGGGTCAAATTTTGACAATTTTGGGCAATTTTTGGTGATTTTTGTGCTTTAGGCTCAGTTTTGGGGTGAATTTTGGAGATTTTGGGGCTTAAACTCGGTTTTAACAAATCCTCACCTGGTCTGGGATCACCTGAGAAGATTTGGGTTAAAAACCCCAATTTTTGGGTCAAATTTTGACAATTTTGGGCAATTTTTGGTGCTTTTTTGGGGATTTTTGAGCTTTTAGGCTCAGTTTTGGGGTGAATTTTGGAGATTTTGGGGTTTAAACTCGGTTTTAACAAAGCCTCACCTGGTCTGGGATCACCTGAGAGGATTTGGGTTAAAAACCCCAATTTTTGGGTCAAATTTTGACAATTTCAGGCAATTTTGGGCTTTTTTGGTGATTTTTGAGCTTTCAGGCTCAGTTTTGGGGTGAATTTTGGAGATTTGGGGGCTTAAACTCGGTTTTAACAAATCCTCACCTGGTTCAGAATCACCTGAGAGGATTTGGGTTAAAAACCCCAAATTTTGGGTCACATTTTGACAATTTTGGGCAATTTTTGGTGATTTTTGTGCTTTAGGCTCAGTTTTGGGTTGAATTTTGGAGATTTTGGGGTTTAAACTCAGTTTTAATAAATCCTCACCTGGTCTGGGATCACCTGAGAAGATTTGGGTTAAAAACCCCAATTTTTGGGTCAAATTTTGACAATTTTGGGCAATTTTGGGCTTTTTTGGGGTTTTTTGAGCTTTCAGGCTCAGTTTTGGGGTGAATTTTGGAGATTTTGGGGTTTAAACTCGGTTTTAACAAAGCCTCACCTGGTCCGAGATCACCTGAGAAGATTTGAGGTAAAATTTCTGAATTTTGGGTTTTTTTGTTGAAATTTGGGCATTTCCGGTGTCTGGGCTCGGATTTGGGCTGAAATTGGGGATTTTTGGTATTTTGGGGCTGAATTTGGGGATTTTGGGGATTTTGGGGCTGAATTTGGGGGATTTGGGGTGAATTTTGGGCTGAATTTGGGAGATTTTGGGTGGATTTGGGGATTTTGGGTGGATTTGGGGATTTTGGGTGGATTTTGGGAGTTTTAGGTTGAATTTGGGAGATTTTGGGATTTTGGGCTCAATTTTGTATTTTCGGGGCTGAATTTTGGGAGTTTTTAATTGAATTGGGGAATTTTGGGTTGAATTTGGGCAATTTTGGGGCTGAATTTGGGGATTTTTGGGCTGAATTTGGGAGATTTTGGGATTTTGGGGGAATTTTGGGATGAATTTGGGAGATTTTGGGGTGAATTTGGGGATTTTGGGAATTTTGGGGATTTTGGGGAATTTTGGGTTCAATTCTGGAATTTTGGATTGAATTTGGGGGATTTTGGGGGAATTTTTGGGTTGAATTTGGGCGATTTTCGGGGATTTGGGGGAATTTTGGGTTGAATTTGGGAATTTTGGGTTGAATTTGGGGGATTTTGGGATTTTGGGCTGAATTTTGGGCTGAATTTGGGGAATTTTTGGGAATTTGGGGGATTTTGGGTTCAATTTTGGAATTTTGGGTTGAATTTGGGGGATTTTAGGGATTTGGGGGATTTTTGGGTTGAATTTGGGGGATTTTGGGTTTGGTTTTGGAATTTTGGGCTGAATTTTGGAATTTTGGGTTGAATTTGGGGGATTTGGGGGAATTTAGGGGAATTTTGGGCTGAATTTTGGAATTTTGGGTTGAATTTGGGGGATTTTGGGGATTTTGAGGATTTTTGGGTTGAATTTGGGGGATTTTGGGTTCAGTTTTGGAATTTTGGGCTGAATTTTGGAATTTTGGGTTGAATTTGGGTTGAATTTGGGGGATTTTGGGGGGAATTTTTGGGTTGAATTTGGGCGATTTCGGGGCTGAATTTTTGGGAGTTTCCGGCTCCGTTTTGGGCTGAAAAATCCCGAATTTGGGGTCCCTCCCTGCCCTGAGCTCCCAGTTCGGACCAGTCAGAACCAGTTTGGACCAGTCCAAACCAGTTTAGACCAGTTTAAACCAGTCCAGACCAGTTCAGACCAGTCAGAACCAGTTTAGACCAGTTTAAACCAGTCCAGACCAGTTTAAACCAGTCCAGACCAGTTCAGACCAGTCAGAACCAGTTTAGACCAGTTTAAACCAGTCAGAACCAGTTTAAACCAGTCCAAACCAGTTTAAACCAGTCCAGACCAGTTCAGACCAGTCAGAACCAGTTTAAACCAGTCCAGACCAGTCAGAACCAGTTCAGACCAGCCCAAACCAGTTCAGACCAGTTTAAACCAGTTTAAACCAGTCAGAACCAGTCCCAGCTCCAGCATTCCCAGTTCAGACCAGTATAGACCAGTCCAGACCAGTCCAAACCAGTTTAAACCGGTTTAGACCAGTCAGAACCAGTCGGAACCAGTTGTTTAGACCAGTCAGAACCAGTTTAAACCAGTCAGAACCAGTCAGAACCAGCCCAAACCAGTTCAGACCAGTTTAAACCAGTTCAGACCAGTCCCAGCTCCAGCATTCCCAGTCCAGACCAGTCCAAACCAGTTAGAACCAGTTTAGACCAGTCAGAACCAGTCAGAACCAGTCAGAACCAGTCAAATCCGGTTTAGACCAGTTCAGACCAGCCCAAACCAGTTTAGACCAGTTTAAACCAGTCAGAACCAGTCCAGACCAGTCAGAACCAGCCCAAGCCAGTTCAGACCAGTTTAAACCAGTTTAGACCAGTTCAGAACCAGTTCCAGCTCCACCATTCCCAGTTCAGACCAGTTTAAACCAGTCCAAACCAGTCCAGACCAGTTTAAACCAGTCCAGACCAGTCAGAACCAGTCCAGACCAGCCCAAACCAGTTTAGACCAGTTTAAACCAGTCAGAACCAGTCGGAACCAGTCGGAACCAGTCCAATCCAGTTTAGACCAGTTCAGAACCAGCCCAAACCAGTTCAGACCAGTTTAAACCAGTTTAAACCAGTTCAGAACCAGTCCCAGCTCTGCCGTTCCCAGTTCAGACCAGTTTAAACCAGTCTGAACCAGTCCAAACCAGTTTAGACCAGTTCAGACCAGTCAGAACCAGTCAGAACCAGTCCAGACCAGTCCAAACCAGTTTAGACCAGTTCAGGCCGGATCCCAGCCCCAGAATTCCCAGTCCAGACCGGTTTAAACCAGTCAGAACCAGTCCGGACCAGTCCGGACCAGTTTAAACCAGTCCAGACCAGTCAGAACCAGTCCAGACCAGCCCAAACCAGTTTAGACCAGTTTAAACCAGTCCAGACCAGTCCAAACCAGTTTAAACCAGTTTAGACCAGTTCAAACCAGTTTAGACCAGTTCAGGCCGGATCCCAGCCCCAGAATTCCCAGTCCAGACCGGTTTAAACCAGTCAGAACCAGTCCGGACCAGTCCGGACCAGTTTAAACCAGTCCAGACCAGTCAGAACCAGTCCAGACCAGCCCAAACCAGTTTAGACCAGTTTAAACCAGTCCAGACCAGTCCAAACCAGTTTAAACCAGTTTAGACCAGTTCAAACCAGTTTAGACCAGTTCAGGCCGGATCCCAGCCCCAGAATTCCCAGTCCAGACCAGTTCAAACCAGTCAGAACCAGTCCGGACCAGTTTAAACCAGTTCAGACCAGTCCAAACCAGTTTAGACCAGTTTAAACCAGTTTAGACCAGTCAGAACCAGTCAGAACCAGTCAGAACCAGTCAGAACCAGTTTAAACCAGTTCAGACCAGTCCAATCCAGTCCAAACCAGTCCAGACCGGTTTGGACCAGTCCCAGCTCCAAAATCCCCCAAATTTCCCCCAAAATTCCCCCAAATTCTCCAGAATTCCCCAAAATTCCCCAAATTTCCCCCAAAATCCCCCCCAAAAATTCCCTGAAATTGGTGAAAATCGCCCCAAAATTCCCCAAATCCCCCCAAAATTCCCCAAAATTTTCAAAATTCCCCAAATTTCCCTGAAAATTCTTAAAAATTCCCCAAATTCCCGGAAATTGCCCAAAATTGCCCAAAACCTCCCCAAAACTCCCCAAATTTCCCCCAAATTCCCAAAAATTCCCTGAAATTCCCCAAAATTCTCTAAAATTCTCTAAAATCCCCCAAAATGCCCCAAAATTCCCCCAAAATTCCCAAAAATTCCCTGAAATTGCCCGAAATTCCCTGAAATTGCCCAAAATTGCCCAAAATTCCCTGAATTTCCCCCAAATCTCTCAAATTTCCCCCCAAATCCCCCAAAATTCCCAAAATTTTCCCCAAAATTCCCCAAAATCCCCGAAAATTCCCTGAAATCCCCCAAAATTCCCAAAATTTTCCCCAAAATTCCCCAAAATTCCCCAAAATTCCCTGAAATTGCCCAAAATTCCCCAAAATTCCCAGAATTCCCCCAAATTCCCGCCTTTACCCGCAGACGACGCCCCCCGCTGGACCGAAGCTCCCGATTGGCTCCCGGGCGGATCCGGCGGCTCCTGATTGGCTGCGGCCCCGGAAGGGGCGGGGCTTGGACCGGAAGAAGGGGGGAAAAAACCAAGAACGGAAATTTGGGATAAAAACGGGGAAAATTGGGAATCTTTTGGGGGGAGGAGGAAATTTGGGAGGAAAAGGTCAAAATTGGGAATTTTTGGGGAGGGAAATTTGGGGGAAAAAATGGTGAAAAAATGGGAATTTTGGGGGGAGGAAAATTGGGGTAAAAACGGTGAAAATTTGGATTTTTTGGGGGGGAAACATTTGGGATGAAGGGACGGAGAAAAAAGGGAATTTTTGGGGGAGGAAATCTGGGAAAAAATTTGAATTTTTTGGGGGAAAAATTTGGGATGAAACGGTCAAAAAACCACGAGAATTTTGGGGAGGAAAATTGGGGTAAAAACGGGGAAAATTTGGATTTTTTGGGGGGAAAAATTTGGGATGAAGGGATGGAAAAAAAAAGGGAATTTTGGGGGAGGAAATTTGGGATAAAACGGTGAAAAATTGGGAATTTTTGGGGGAGGAAATCTGGGATAAAATTTGAATTTTTGGGGGGAAAAATTTGGGATGAAACGGCCAAAAAACCATGAGAATTTTGGGGAGAAAAATTGGGAAAGAAACGGTGAAAAAATGGGAATTTTGGGGGAGGAAATTTGGGATAAAACGGTGAAAAAATTTGATTTTTTTTTGGAAAATTTTGGGATGAAGGGACGGGAAAAAAAAGGGAATTTTGGGGGAGGAAATTTGGGATAAAACGGTGAAAAATTGGGAATTTTTGGGGAGGAAATCTGGGAAAAAATTTGAATTTTTGGGGGGAAAAATTTGGGATGAAACGGCCAAAAAACCATGAGAATTTTGGGGAGAAAAATTGGGAAAGAAACGGTGAAAAAATGGGAATTTTGGGGACGGAATTTGGGAAAAAACGGTGAAAAAATTTGATTTTTTTTTGGAAAAATTTGGGATGAAGGGACGGAAAAAAAAAGGCAATTTTGGGGGAGGAAATTTGGGATAAAACGGTGAAAAATTGGGAATTTTTGGGGGAGGAAATCTGGGATAAAATTTGAATTTTTTTGGGGAAAAATTTGGGATGAAACGGCCAAAAAACCACGAGAATTTTGGGGAGGAAAATTGGGATAAAAACAGGGAAAATTTGGATTTTTTGGGGGGAAAAATTTGGGATGAAGGGACGGGAAAAAAAGGGAATTTTTGGGGGAGGAAATCTGGGAAAAAATTTGAATTTTTGGGGGGGAAAAATTTGGGATGAAATGGCCAAAAAACCACGAGAATTTTGGGGAGAAAAATTGGGAAAGAAACGGTGAAAAAATGGGAATTTTGGGGGAGGAAATTTGGGATAAAACGGTGAAAAATTTGAATTTTTGGGGGAGGAAATTTGGGAATAAATGGTGGAAAATTTGAGTTTTTTGGGGGGAAAAATTTGGGATGAAACGGCCAAAAGAACACGAGAATTTTGGGGAGGAAAATTGGGGTAAAAACGGTGAAAATTTGGATTTTTTCAGGGGAAAAATTTGGGATGAAGGGACGGAAAAAAAAAGGGAATTTTGGGGGAGGAAATTGGGGAAGAAACGGTGAAAAATTGGAATTTCGGGGAGGAAATCTGGGATAAAATCTGAATTTTTGGGGGGAAAAATTTGGGATGAAACGGTCAAAAAACCACAAGAATTTTGGGGAGGAAAATTGGGGTAAAAACGGTGAAAAAATTTGATTTTTTTTTGGAAAAATTTGGGATGAAGGGACGGAAAAAAAAAGGGAATTTTGGGGGAGGAAATTTGGGATAAAACGGTGAAAAATTGGGAATTTTTTGGGGTGAAAATTCCCAGATTCGGCCGCCGGGGGGAGCTCTGGGATTGGGTTTTGTTTTTTGGGGACCCCCCCCCCGAAAGGGGAA